ATGGCTTTCTTCTTCCCTGCTTTATCTTCCTGACATCCTTGTGAGGAAGGTCAGGTTGAGAAATACTGATTAGCCAAATGAGGAGATGTGTGTACGCACATGCTGGTGCTTAAATTGCAACTATAAAACAGCGACCAGACTCCTTACCTCCACCGAGGAGAGAAAAACCTGGCAAATTACCAAGAAGGTCAAGACTGCTGGACTTAAGAGCAACCTTCCTGGCAAAAAAGCATCTTGTCATGTCCTTTTGGACTTTTAAGTTTTGGACTTTAAATTCTCCACACTGATACAATCCTGATGAAGTGGTGTTTAATCCACAAAAGCTTGGTTTATTGCGTGATGATTTTTAGTGGTCTATAAAGGTACTGTCTGTTTTTGCATTTTGACTAACCTATGTTTGGCTAGTTAGCTTAATGGCTCAGTGAGGATCTTCTAAGTCTTGACAATTTAATGACTAGCTTGTTAACACAGTGGTTCTTACAGAGGTAGAATATCCAGACAAGCAACCTTGTCACTATTATGGACATATCTGCAACAGTGATATGTTATTTGACTGCATTTTTCCTAAACTATGTCAGAACAACAATCTGGTTTCGTTTGTTGAGGAATTCAGGCAGTGAATAAGCACTAGAATAATCTCTGGGGGTATGATGTTTGGGTGCCTCAGAAAACCCCCTGCCTCCCTAATTTTTTTAATCAATACTTTACTTTCACCCCACAATGGGTATGATGGAGATTTTTCAGTAAGTAAATAAACAAGAAGATTCTTCACTTTCATTGCATTAATTCTCTCCAGACATCTTCAGTCAATTGAACTACAGTATGCTTCTGGGAATTTGACTTTCTTTCTCATTCACTGGAAACTGATCTTTCTGGTGCATGTCTTAGTGACTAGGGGCTGTTAATCTGTTACATGCTGTCAAGTCACATTTGACTTATGGTGACTTGAATAGGGTTTTCAAGGTATATGATATGTGTAAGAAGAGGTTTCCCAAGTGCCTATCCGTGCCACCATGCAGTCCATTTTTAAATACTGGGAGATTTATAGAAGATCTATATACAGTATTTTAGTATATAGTTTTAAAGTTTCAGTTGAACACTAAGTTGTCCTAAGGTGGAGTTGCTATGGATAAAAGTTTGATTCACAAACAATTTTTCTATGTATTAAAAAAAATCATACGAGAAGCCAATTTACCAAACACTCTGAATTACCCATGTCAGCTCGGCAATAAGAAATCACTATGGACTGCTATTGAGCAGTAACTGCAATGAAGTACATTTGTGTCTCCAAGAAACTATAATAAACAAATAATTAAACAGAATAACTTTCACATTTCATTAAATAAAAGTTGCAATGGAAGTACTTATAACTGTGTCTCCAAGAAAAAACGATAAACAAATAAAAGATCACATTTCATTAAGTCGAAGTATATGAAATTTGCCCTGTTAATTTAGAAGTTTTGATTACAGTAAGAAAAGAAAATCACAAGGAAACATGATAAGGAAATAAGGAAACATACTGAGAATTTGAGTCAGTCGTCACTTGGTATCCAGGTATTTTGCATTTACACTTGAGAGAAATATCTCATCTTAGTGCATCTTACTTCATAGGAACATCAATAACTATAAATATGAGATCATCTTACACGTAGAAATTACAAGACATGGGAAGTGCATCTAAATGAATTTGTTTTTGCAGACTACCTCATCAGTTTAAATTTGCTGGAGAAATGCTTGTTATTATGAACAGCGGTTGTCTGCGATGGAATTTCTAACGCATGAAGGATGAACCACAACAAACCATTCAAATGTGGAGTTCTTTTAGTCTGCAGCCAAGCATTAGAAACAAAACTGTGGCTGAAGAAAGCTGGATTGCGTACAAATCTTCTGAATCACAATATTATTATACAACCTTATGGCTCAGGGACACTTCCAGTGGTTCTATGTCTACTTTGCAGGGGACAGTCTTCTATTTGAAGGACAATTGCAAGTATCAAAGAACAGTACTCTATCTCAATATATCTTCAGTATCAAGAACCATCCACTCCAATTCCTGCCTGTGCTAACAAATGACACTATGGTGAAAACTTTAAAACAAAATTGAATTTCCTCCTGTATATTCTTAACACAATGGGGGAATTTAATAGTATTAGAACATGATCAAACAATAGGTGATCGGGAGAGATAAAAGGAAGCTATTCTCCACATAGCACAAAATGTCACAATGACAACCAAATTAGATTACTTTAAGCAAATTCACAGCAGGGAAAGCGAATTACAGCTAGATATTACAATGGCTATTATCCTTCTCTTCAGTGTCAGAAGTAATGAGGCTGTATCTCGATTCCTAAGGAACAAGAGAGGGAGGGTGCTGCTTCATATGCTGTATTGTCTTTGGTTGGCCATTGCAGGAAGCACATGCTGGATATAAGACAGGCCTTAGTTTTTCATTTAACGGGACTCCTCTCATGCATTTATGGCAATATTTATCAGTCAGTTGAGCAGCATGTCAAACACAACACAGGTGCTGCTTGGTACAGAATTTCAGCACCAAGTTAGACCTTGGCTCTAAGTACTAGGGGGCCCAGTGAGCACAGCTTTGTTTTGACTGCTGGGCTGTAGATTTCTACACAATGTTTTAACTTTCTCAATCACTCTTTGTTTTAAATTGTTTAATATAGTTCTATTTGCATGCACCCTGCCCTGTGGGGACATGGGGCAGAATATAAAATGTGGCATAAATACCTTAATCAAATAAAAAAAAGCAATGTAGCTGGTATTTTTCTACACCTTACATGGAGAACCTGATTGAAGCAGATTTCAGAAAACATGTCCGCTTAGGTTTCTGCCACACACACCAATTTGTCAGTCCCTTGGTGACCAGCAGAGTACCAATTATATCTTTCTATTATATTATTCCAGCTTTTAATACATTTTAGGAAACATGATAATGAGAAGCAAGACACACTACGTTTTCTGCAGATGAGTCATGAAAAGTTTAGCTGCAAATACATATAGCTGTGATTTCCTTCCATGTTATTTCCTTCCCTACACCAAACAATCAGGGACGTGGTGGCGCTGCGGGCTAAACCGCAGAAGCCTTTGTGTGCTGCAGGGTCAGAGGACCAGCAGTTGTAAGATCAAATCCACGCAACGGAGTGAGCTCCCGTTGCTTTGTCCCAGCTCCTCGCCAACCTAGCAGTTCGAAAGCATGTAAATGTGAGTAGATAAATAGGTACCATCTCGATGGGAAGGTAAACAGCGTTCTGAATCTAAGTCGCGCTGGCCACGTGACAACGGAAACTGTCTTCGGACAAACGTTGGCTCCACGGCTTGGAAACGGGGATGAGCACCGCCCCCTAGAGTCGAACACGACTGACTAAAATATCAAGGGGAACCTTTACCTTTACCTTTACACCAAACAATCAGAAACTAGAGTAGCGTAACCTACATCTAAGTGACTATATTAAGAAATCAAATTAAAATAACGTCTCTGCATCACCAATCAGTTTCAATATAATATTTAATCAACTACTCCTTGTGGCATAAATCAAGTTAGTACCTTAATTCAATAGACTATGAATGTTGGCTTCACAAAAGTGGGAAAACTGATAAGAAAATAAAGTATTGTGGTTGGATTCTTCTTCTTTGATATGGGTGACAGGGAACAGGATATATTATCTCCATCACAAGGTATTACCACCAACTAAACATTGTTTCTTTCATCTAAGAAACATTGAAAGAATCACTCTGGAATGACCCTAGGAGAACTGCATTCAAATGTCATCTCAGAAAATGAGACACTGAAGAAACTGGGGAACTGTCATCCTTAGTCACCTGCATGGAAAATGGGTATAAGAATGACCTCTGTAGCTTGTTTTTTTGGGGGGTGGGTGGGACAGAGACAAGATGGAGGCTGAAGGACAAAATCATTACCAAGTTTTCCCAGTTAGGAGAAAAGAAAGGCAGTGAGTTTATCACTGTTCTAGAGCACCATGGCCAAAAAGAAAGGAGAAAGCAGCTGTATGTCAGAGATATGATTACATTTCTTTTTAAAATTGACAAAGAAACAAGAAGGATTCTAAAAACTGGTCTCCAGCTATGTTAATCAACATACTTAGGAAGGAGCAACGTTTCCACACATTTGCATGAGTGTTTATTTAAGCTTCTAAATAGTGCCATCATTAGTATCTATTTATTTCTTTAAAATATTTATACCCTACTTCTCTCCTCAGGAGGCCCCATGGAAGCTAGTAATTTTTTGGGAGAGATACGCAAGATGGAGGCTGAAGGACAAAACCATTCTCTTCCATATTTGACAGGCCAGTAATTTAAAGCTGTAAATATCTGTATTTGTCAGCATACGGACAAAGCTAAAACCTGTTCCTCTCAAATTACTGTGATTTGGATCAGGCAAGAGCAGCAAATTTGTATTTTTGTTCCTCCTTGTAGACATAAAATTGTTCTTTGGGGGAGGGGGGAGGTCAAGCATGAGACAAACTTCTCTCCTAAAAATTGCTTAGTTTTTTTTAAAGAATTGACTTGGAGACACTGCTTTCAGCCTCCATGTGAAATGTCTCAAAACAAGAGTTCTAAAAGTCAGGTAAAAGCAATTGCAGAATTTGTACTGGGGTGTGTTTGTGTGTGTGTACACTCAGTGCCATTTGTTGACCTTACTTCTGAGTACCAGCACAACTGCTCTCTTGGCCATTACTAGAACTGTTGTCAGAGGGATATGGGGCACTGTGACATTTTGTGTCTGTATATTATATTAAAAATATAAATAGCAGCAGCAACTACAAAGGCAGACCAAAAAACAGAGCTTCTGAGGATGATTTTTGGATTCAGACAGGTCCTTACAGACACACTCCTACATCTACTGAATTGATCTTCCCATGTCATATATATATATATATATATATTACTTTCAGCCCCAATATATATGCTTCTGCACAGTACAGTAGTCACAAGTCATCAAAATGAACAGAATAGCTCTCTACCTCGATCTGTGTGGTATTATCATGTGTGTCATCAAGCAGCAGGTCTGTGAAGCCTCCAGGGTCTGAGGATTCCTGCCCCACGCTGGCCCTGTTGGTGTCCACCGACTTGAGGGACTCTGAATGCCGCTTCCATCTGTGGTTGTATTTGTAATAGTTCACACGCACATTCTCTTCCACTTGAGGGATGCTCTGAATTATTTCATAAAGTGCACCTGTTTGATAAGGACATAAGAAAAATCCAAGGCTTTAAGTATTGAAATAAAGCAGACATCCAAACATCGTTTTTAAATATTGATTAGTTATTCCTAACAGACCACACATGCCCTTTTCTAAGATACATCGTTCTATTCCCTCTCAACAACATACATACACAGAGAGAGGCAACATTCCATGGCCATAGATAGAGCATGTTCAGTCTTCACTGAACTGTTTTGGGAAGAGTTCTTCCTCACATCATTTTGAAAAATGTAAGAATCTACACTGGGAGAATGAAGTTCCTGTTAGTACACTTGAGCATCATGTATGAATTTTTAGCCACCCAGAATAGACTTTGGTCTAGAGAGCATCATGTATGAAGTTTTAGCCGCCAAGAATAGACTTTGGTCTAGATGGACAGGATATAAATTTAATAAATAAATAAAAAAAATAATAGTGTCATCAAGCAGAAAATTAGCCCATGCTCTTATACTAATAAATATTGTATTTATTCATCTGAAAATAATATGTACTTGCATACAAATATACATCCCCTAATACATATCCATACACATAATGCCACATTTCTACATTGCACACACACATTTTTTTTTGCATTTGAAACAGACTATGAGAGAAATATGCAAGACTAAAAGACAATGTCTTCCTGCAGAAGGTAGACTTGCCACTGTCATGCCCATATCCTGTCTATGGAAGCTTTGCCTGGGACAGGTGACTGTTCAGTAAATCACTGAATAAAGCATAAACCCCAATCATGGCAGGGAGTCAAAGAGGTAAACTGGTTAGCCTTGCACTCACCCAGTAATTAAAAAAAACCCTTAGAAGACATTTTTCCCACAAGCAGTTTTTGAAACTATACAGTTCCAAAAGGAGTCTGGCATTTGATAAAGAAAGTTAAAGACAAG